CTGTACGTGTTATGGTTTGCCGTCCGGCTGATCCTGCGCCTCTTCGTCGGGTAACGGCCTAAAGTACGGTTTCCCAGTCGTTCGTACTGGGCGACCCACTGCGCCCGGAAGTCGCATTTCGATATTGTCTATGCGCGTTTGCAGCGTCGCGACCATTTTTGTGAGCTGAGATATTGCAATGCTCAACTGTTCGGTTTGTGCGGTTTGCTGAGCGATTGCGTTGTTAAGTTGCGCGGTTTGCTGCGCGTGTTGGGTCATCATCGCGTCTACCTTGTCGTCGAGTCTATCAACTCGTTCGCGAAGTTTCTCCTCGCGTTTCTGCGATTTGACGTCGAATTGTTCCGGGTCAAGTGCCTTACGTTTGGTGGGTGCGGGGTGCGCGTCTTGAGCCTCCATGACTTCCTCCACTCTCTCGGCTGTACTAGCAGCCGCGTCGGCTGCGACGGGTTTAATTGGAGGAGGAGGAGGAGGAGGAGGAAAGGGAACTGTCGGGGCCTCCCCCTTCAATGTGGCAATTTCGTTTCTTAACCTTGCATTTTCCTGCTTTAGTTCTTGGATTATTGATTCGAATTGATCCAATCGTTTCTGCACTAGACTTTCTGGGTCGCTGTTGCGTTTGTTAGCAGAGCTGCCGCGTCTGTCTACATCTGGGTTTCTATCAATGGCAGTCTCGGTTCGCGTTAGCGGTGCGCTGGGCGCGCGTCCGGAGGCGACGTCCACCCACCTCAATTTATGGGGGTCAACAACTCCTCCGCCTTTGGCTGCAGCTGTGTGGTTGGCTCGGGCCGTCGACGTGCTGCGAGGCTTCGCTGAACGGGGCCGGGAGACGCTGCGAGAGCGGGCTCGAGAACGAGTACGGGAGCGAGTGCGGCTCCGCGTGCGGGTCTCCCTCGAGGCCGATCGACTGTTGCCTCGACGTCGTCTCGGTGCGTGGCGTCGTCCGTAGCCCTCCTCCCCGTCGTTGACGGTGCTGCTACTGCTGTAGGCGGCCTCAGCCTCCTCGCGCATTCTGCGTTCCCACTGTCGGCGCTTGACTAGGTAGGGTGTCTTGTACTTAGCTTTGCACTTGCGGTCTCCGGTGAGGTGACCCTTTCCGCACAGTTGGCACACCGGCTCGCACCGATGATCGTCGGGCGGTTCACCGCAACCGCACCCACGGCACTTCTTGTCGTTCGGGTTGGGGCACACGTCGGCCCTGTGTCCCAGACGGCCACACTCGTAGCACATATTGATGTGTTTCTTGTAAAGAGTGCACCTTATCACCATCCCGCCGTAGTTCACGTAACGAGGCACGTAGTAGCCGTCGAAAAGGATTATCACGTTGGTCGTGTTTCCCATGCGCTTGGCATGCAGGACGTTCGGGTTGCGGTGGTTAACCAGACTTCTCACGACGTCCGCCGGCTTTTCGTCTAGCGATATGCCCCTGATGAGACCTTTGGACGTGTTCTCCGGAGCCGCTCTGTAGGCGCTCGCTTCGAACTCACGGTCGCCAATTCGCAGCTTGCAAATGCCTCCATATCGTCTAGCACGATCTTCTGACGGCGTGCTTACCACAATAACGTTTTGTCGCTCATTGAGACAGACGCTGTCCTCCTCGGCTACCTCGCGCCCCACCCCTGCAGCGTTGCGTATGCAGCAGTGGACGCGGTCCTTCTGGTAGTGGGATACGTTGAAGCCGTCCCGGGGTCGCACGATGATCTTGTAGTCATCCATTGGCAGGTTGGGCATTCGGCTCGTCATGGTGATTTTCCGCACGTACTGCGTCGCTTTCTGTATAAACGCCGCCTTCTCGGTAGACGCTGGCGTTGCTTGCTGGTTTCTTCGCCGGGTCGGCGTCTCCACCCGCCTTCTTGGTGTTTCGTTTGATCTCGCACCATCCCTGCTCTTTTCCGAACTCTGTCGGCGATATCTCCTCCCCTTCGACTTGCACGAATTCCATTTCGGGCGCCGGTGCAGCGGATGGGGCACCCGCTTGCTCCGACGACTTGTCAGGCCTACCGTGCCTTGTCTACTGGCTTGACTGTCGTGCCAGCGTGGCGGTACGGGCAATCTTCGAAAAGTGACCGAAACACGGGCTCACCTGCACAAATGGTATCGGGAGAGACCGCAGGACTTTCGCAGTCACTTGGGAATACTCTGAACTGAATGGCTGGAAAGAAATCGCCGAAAACCATAGAAAATCTGCGGAGCCGATGCGACGCGCGTCCGCACACCGTGGCCCCCTAGCGGCCGTCCTCTGAGTGAGTGAGTTAATAAAATTTATTTCATGATCCGGCATGTTTGTGGTCTAGGCTAGACCGCACAGATAGGTACAGGAGACCTGGTCTCCGTATAGCCTCCCTGGCCTGCTGGGTAGCCCATTTTTGATCTTGGACCTCCGAGCTGAGCAGCAATAGCCGTCACCGTTCCGGAGGGCCTCAGCAGAACATAAGTTAGGACGTTCCCACAATATATTCTTATAAGAATCCCTTTCTGTTTTGCGTATTTTTCATCTATTGTCTGGGTGTAGGTGTGGGTAGCTCCAGAGGATGTGCACAGTGGTTTGGTTGGAGTTTGTTGCTGTCGGTATTCAGATACTTGTTGCCTGTCTAGACTCGGGTGAGGTGCGGGGAAGACGCGCTTTGCTTCTATGTTGTGTTGGGTGTATTCAGTGTAGCACGTAAATCGGTCTCCGTGTGGTACGTAAGTGGCACCAGGCACAATCGCCGAGCTAGGGTGCCTAACCGAGTGGTCTGTTCGGGTTGCGCGGCGGGTTAATTCTCGCAACAACTCGTCGTTTGAATCGGATGTATCAGTCTCTGTGTGCGCCGGGAACGATACGAGGTATTTGGGTTCATTTACTTTGTGAAGTTCTTGGCTACTAACGATGATTATGAAGGCTTGTTGTGAAATCTGTCCCTGCGTGAAATTTCTGATAGCTACTGGCGAAGAACTCAGTATGAAACTGTGTTCATTGAAGGTTATATTCATAGCTACAGCTACCTCCTCAGCCTATTCTATCTTGTTTGTTGTCATAGTTCACGCGTTAAGACACATTCCCCATTTGTCAATCACGACAGCAGTGTGAACCTTGCGTTCAAGGTATGGGTTAGCATCTACAAAAGGAGATTTACATTTCGTGCCGTCTGCTTTGAGCAGTGCTTTTGCTCGGTGTCTTCTGCGGTCCACGTTAATAATGGGGGGATGTTTTTTATTTTTTGGTATCGGATTGGCGATGATCTTAGCTCTTATTGTATTGGAAACGTCATGTTTGATCCCATGTTGTGCATATGGTACATGATTGTCAGGGGCATAGTCATCCAGAAATTTTTCCTCAGGAGTGCCAGGGGGGGGGGGTTGCACCGCCAACTTTATTGTATGTACTGTTGCGAAAGACGGGACCGATCCCGCCGAAGCCACCACGCGTTACAATTTCGGCACTGGGGCCGACAGAGACTCGAAGAGCCGAGCTCTCCTCTCTAACACATAGGTCAGCCTTTCGCCTAAGACCGCTGACTCACACACATGTCGGCACTCCGACACGGGGACTCCTCTCTCGTAGGACTGCCGATCGCGACGCGCCGCAGGGCTTCTTTTATTTACACCGGGTCCAACCAAAATGTCCAATCAGAAGCGCCGCTGGTCGTCAGGGCAGATTCCGCCAATGGGGGTCGCCGCGCCATGCGTCAGACCACCAGACACGCGGACGCCGGCTCGCTGTCACGCGCGCAGCTGACTCAATGCACGTGGGCCAGGGAGGCGCCGCGCGTGTTCACTCCGTCGAGTTGATCGCGCCAGGCGGGCTGCGGGCTGGCCTTGACCCAGATTGCCTTTTTCCGAGGCACGGACGTTTGACGAGGACTCGCTGGCATAACAGTACTCACGCAAAATAGAAAATTTTTTGAGGGGTAGTTTGAACCCCATACTCAACCACTGACTATGCCAGTGGTCTTCCTGTTGTGCATTTGACCTTTTTGACGACCGGCCTAGAGATAATTGTCGGCAATATTGGCCGAGGGAATGCTCTATATTGTTTCCTACTTCAGATATCAGCAGCCATACAAAGATGTGTCCTACATCCACTTACCGTTGTATCTGAGGAATTAGAGCTTCCAAATATGATTGATTGATTGATTGATTGATTGATTGATATGTGGGATTTAACGTCCCAAAACCACCATACGATTATGAGAGACACCGTGGTGGAGGGCTCCGGAAATTTCGATTACCTGGGGTTCTTTAACGTGCACCCAAATGTGAGCACACGGGCCTACAACATTTCCGCCTCCATCGGAAATGCAGCCGCCGCAGCCGGGATTCGAACCCGCGACCTTCGTATCAGCGGAGTACCTTAGCCACTAGACCACCGTGGCGGGGCAGCTTCCAAATATTGACAACAATAAAACTTTAAACGTATTTTTTGTGTTAAAAGACATCACACATGCTGTTCAGGGCATTCTCTTCGCAGTCACAACAGAAATTAATATTTTATGAATAAAAACATTTATACACCCATAAATGAGTCGACATATGATTCCACAATCCATACTAAGTGCCTCTGAAACGTTTGATGATCTTTACTGGTGAACGTCTTTGATAACATACCAGGCCAAACCATTTGCTATTCTTGTGCCTATATAGGTTTAATCACGTTGGTCGAAATTTCCGGAGCCCTCCACTACGGCGTCTCTCATAATCATATGTTGGTTTTGGGACGTTAAACCCCACAAATCAATCAAGTTTAATCACGTTCACTTTCCTTGTTACATATTGTAACTAACGGGCAAAGCAGTTGCTATAGCTTGCAGTGAGGAGTGGGCAGGCAGCGCTTGTGTATAGCGCGTATATAGCCATGCTTCCAACAAACCAGTACTTTCCGGGTATCGTTTGCATGCCTTCGGTGCTACTTGCCAATAATTGCGCTTATCGTCTGGAACACCTATTAGAATACTGTGGTACATGTGGTGCTGTATTGTGGGGCCCATCTGTGCGGAAACATTCATGACTGCATCGTTACGCAGGTGGCCATATTCCGGGACAATGTGAGGGTACTGAACTTCTGGTGCGGAGGAACGTTAATTTTGGGAAGGGTGGTCCTCTCCGCCGCTCACTGCTACTATGACACTCTGTAAGTATACGATCGTCTTGAGCCTGTCCTCATCAAAGCTATTTCTTGATGCACACGTGGGGAAAATGAGTTAGCACGATTGAAAACTTTGAACGACGTGGACGACGCTGCTGCTTCTCCTTTTTCTTCTTCTCCTTCTTCTTCTTTTTCTTTTTCTTCCTTTTCTTTTTCTTCTTCTTTTTCTCTTTTTCTTTTCTATCTTTTTCTTTTTTTTCTTTTTCTTTTTTCTTTTTCTTTTTTCTTTTTCTTTTTTTTCTTTTTCTTTTTTTGTCATTGGATGTCACAGAGTAGATGTGAAGTTGATGTCTTGCGTGACTTGGTATATAATATAATATGTACTCCTGTTCTCATCATCATCATCATGTTCTTACATTCACTCTAACCCTTACGCCAAACCCCAACCTCATCGTCACCCAGTCGTATATAATAAATTTCCGTGGTCTTCCTAATCGCAGGCGGGACACGCGATACGTAGTCCGCATCGGTGGCGTCAGCATATCGGACGGTAGCACAGAACCGGTCGTGGAGCGATACGTGGAATCGGTTCACGTGCACCCGGATTACGACGACCGGTTTCACTACAACGACGTGGCGCTTCTCTTCCTCAACCATTCGGCACTGCAGTACATCAAGAAGCCTGTCGCATGCCTTCCCGAGCCGAATGCCGCACCCGATGCTGAACACGGTACCGTGCTCGGTTGGGGACACGATGATTTCGGTGAGTGCGCAGTTGTATGCGTTCGGCCTGCTGACATTAGCGAGTGACTGTTCGGGCGAGTTAGTCGGCGTTCAGAGACGTTTTATACTTAAGGCGAAAATTTTAGCTGCCTCATCAGATGCGAAAAGGGACCATTGGCGTCGTCAGCACGAGTGGTGCGAAATATTGTCGTCATCAGGTGTTGACGTCACCATAATATGACGCCATCATGGGGTCGCATGCCACCAACTTTGTGACGTCGTTGTAAAGTCACTAAAGGCGTCATCACGTGACATAAGCACTTGATCAAAGGCGGCCCGGGCCGATCATAGAAGCACTGCATAACCGCGTGAGGTGCGGTCGCATGCCACCAACTTTGTGACGTCGTTGTAAAGTCACTATAAGGCGTCATCACGTGACATCATCACTTCATCAAAGGCAGCCTGGGCCGATCATAGAGGCACTGCATAACCGCGTGAGGTGCGGTTGCATGCCACCAACTTTGTGACGTCGTTGTAAAGTCACTATAAGGCGTCATCACGTGACATCATCACTTCATCAAAGGCAGCCCGGGCCGATTATAGAGGCACTGCATAACCGCGTGAGGTGCGGTTGCATGCCACCAACTTTGTGACGTCGTTGTAAAGTCACTATAAGGCGTCATCACGTGACATCATCACTTCATCAAAGGCAGCCTAGGCCGATCATAGAGGCACTGCATAACCGCGTGAGGTGCGGTTGCATGCCACCAACTTTGTGACGTCGTTGTAAAGTCACTAAAGGCGTCATCACGTGACATCATCACTTCATCAAAGGCAGCCTAGGCCGATCATAGAGGCACTGCATAACCGCGTGAGGTGCGGTTGCATGCCACCAACTTTCTGACGTCGTTGTAACATCACTATAAGGCGTCATCACGTGACATCATCACTTCATCAAAGGCAGCCTGGGCCGATCATAGAGGCACTGCATAACCGCGTGAGGTGCGGTTGCATGCCACCAACTTTGTGACGTCGTTGTAAAGTCACTATAAGGCATCATCACGTGACATCATCACTTCATCAAAGGCAGCCTAGGCCGATCATAGAAGCACTGCATAACCGCGTGAGGTGCGGTCGCATGCCACCAACTTTGTGACGTCGTTGTAAAGTCACTATAAGGCGTCATCACGTGACATCATCACTTCATCAAAGGCAGCCCGGGCCGATCATAGAGGCACTGCATAACCGCGTGAGAGGGCGGGTTGCATGCCACCAACTTTGTGACGTCGTTGTAAAGTCACTATAAGGCTCATCACGTGACATCACTTCATCAAAGGCAGCCCGGCCGATTCATAGAGGCACTGCATAACCGCGTGAGGTGCGGTTGCATGCCACAACTTTGTGACGTCGTTGTAAAGTCACTATAAGGCGTCATCACGAGACATCAATCACTTCATCAAGGCAGCCTAGGCGATCATAGAGGCACTGCATAACCGCGTGAGGTGCGGTTACATGCCACCAACTTTGTGACGTCGTTGTAAAGTCACTATTAAGGCATCATCGTGACATCATCACTTCATCAAAGGCAGCCTAGGCCGATCTAGAGGCACTGGCATAACCGCGTGAGGTGCGGTTGCATGCACCAACTTTGTGACGTCGTTGTAAAGTCACTATAAGGCGTCATCACGTGACATCATCACTTCATCAAAGGCAGCCCGGGCCGATCATAGAGGCACTGCATAACCGCGTGAGGTGCAGAATGCTTCCAAGTCCTCCTATCCCGCTGACAGCGACGTAGAAACCTTTAGACGGAATCAATACAACAGGCTGAGAAGAAAAAAAGGATACCTTTCACTTTGCAGTCAGGTTAGAAAAATGGAAGTGCCACTGTGCGAAATTTAGATAGTGCACGTCAAAGTGATTGAAGGAAGGAAAAACAACAGCAACATCACACACACACACACCCCTTTCTTCGGTTCTTTCATTATGTCCTGTCTCCTCCGCTCTGTCTCAGTTGAACTAACTTAACGAAAACCAACGAAAGCGTCCGGAAACGTGACGTTTCACTCGGCAATAAAAAATTTCGTAACTTACTCTTAAGTAATCTTCGGTTTACTGCGCTTTACACGCCAATATTATTTATAAACCGAGTTCTTTTTCTATGAACCGAATCATTTTTAAAGTGAGCTCTGACAACGACACCAAGAAAACGTGAACGCGAAAATTACGTATTTTTTTAGGATGACTGCCAGTTGGGCGTGTTGGTAAAGGTTCATCGTGAACATATTTTTTACGAACTTTCACCGATGGGTCATGGCGTATTTCATCTGCATCAGGTTGATATACAAACCTGTCAAGCTGTACCTTCCTGGTCATGAAGGCGTATGACAGTCAATACGAGTGTTTGTAATTCCTTCGAACTTGACTGTTCAGTACTTTCCTTTTCATGCATTATACCCTATAATCGCGGTGGAATCTTTCCACGCTGACGTCACCTGCAACACGAGTGCTGTCCATATGTAATGCTACTTCCTTATACTTCATAGATGCTGTTGCATCTATGAAATATATGACGTACACGCCATGGTTCTGCGAACTCAGCCTCTTCCAGTAAGAATAAAAGTTGTACTATTCAGGATAAACTATTTGTACTTTAGGTGTGCGTGCCCATGGCTTCATCCTAACTTGCTCACGCAATCTCTTTCCTTATGTTCGTGCGTATATGCTGCGACACCCTCTGGCGGCCGTTGTACAAACAGTATACGTGCAAACCATGTGCAGGAGGACGGCTGCAGACGGTTCTCCAAGAAGCCATGATACCGCTGGTTGACAACCCGACTTGCGAACGTGCCTACACGAAACTGAACTCATTCGAAACCAAGTTTCCTCGCGGCATCAACGGTGACTTCCTCTGTGCTGGGAATATCACGGATGGTGGTGTCGACGCTTGTCAGGTATATACACACTGCCAGCTGTATCTTGTCGCTGGCATTGCTCACTTTCTCAAATAATGCACCCGACGTCTCACTTAGCGACCATCGAGTTTCCCCAAGAAGAAGTACCCACGAATTTCTCCCTATATGCAGTAACTGTACTTATAATATTATCATTGCTACATTGAACACGTTTTAGTCTACCTTAAGCCGTTAATCATCGTCATTGTTGTTGTTGTTGTTGTTGTCGTCGTCGTCGTCGTCGTCGTCGTAGTAGTAGTAGTAGTAGTAGTAGTAGTAGTAGTAGTAGTAGTAGTAGTAGTAGTAGTAGTAGTAGTAGTAGTAGTAGCAGCAGTAGTAGTAGTAGTAGTAGTAGTAGTAGTAGTAGTAGTAGTAGTAGTAGTAGTAGTAGTAGTAGTAGTAGTAGTAGTGTTACGCTAGGCAATCGCTTACAATCGCACGCTTACCTTTTACGATGTCGAACTGGCTCAAATATTGACTACGTTTTTCTTTCTTTTATCGCAGCAAGATTCTGGTGGACCGCTGGTAACGAACTCCACCCGGGACGGACGGAACTTCTTCGAAACCATCGGCATCGTCTCGTTCGGCGTTGGCTGCGGATCAGCCGCTTACCCTGGTGTCTACACGAGAGTCTCGAAATACGTGGACTGGATACTTAACGTCATGGCAGACGTCCTACCGGACAAGCAAATATACGTTTAGTGTAATAAAACCAAAGCCCCCACTTGCTGTACATAGGAAATTACGTTGCGTTGTTTGTTTTAATGTCTTAAGCTTCCCGGTACAGCACATGTGTGCTCCCATCATTTGACCACAAATGAGAGAAAAAGAGCTCAGGGCCTGAGTTGTGCGAACCTTTGTAGTTTTTTTTAGGGGCGAAGCTCCTTAAAGCGGCACCCGTTCGTCCCTCGTCGTAGTAGGTAACATGTCTTATGCCTTGACCTACAAGGTGGTGCCGGTGGGAGATTTCTTCTGTGCGTTGTTGAACAATAAAAAATTCGCAGCGTGCGCGTTAACTAAAAGCCGAATTCCCCTGTCTCTCATTCCCCATTAGCAGCCATTGGCATGTACATTGAGCACCATCTGACAAGAAAGGGTTGCTACGTTATACTCGCTGGGCGTAACCTCCTGGTTTTTTAGAGAGGTTTAGCGAGCGTTGGGCCGCTGTGCCATGAATGCAGTAAACTATAGCGTATACCATGAACTCGAGGTGGCTAAAGGTGGGAAGTAGACCCGAAGCGCAAGCCGTAAGAAAGTGTGCGTGTGCCACCTCTCGTTTGGTCCTTGGAATGTCCACTTGATGGCGGTGCCTCTATATGGGGAATATATGATGAAAAGATGCGAGATTGTGGTACTTGGAGTGTTGAATAGATGGACGAACGGACACACAGACAGATGCACGGATGGACGTATGAACGGATGCATGGACGGATGGATGCATGAATGGACGCAGGGGCGGATGCATGGACGAACGCAAGGACGGACGCATGGATGCACGTGCGGATGCACGAACAGACGCACGCACGGATGGGCGGATAGACGCACGGATGGTCACACAGACAGACACATGGACGGACGCAAGCAAGAACGAATGGACGGATGGATGCTTCGCCCCACTCCATCATTCACCCCCTGGATATGCCGCCATTTTTCAAAGAAAATATTATATACCCCATAGACCAGAAAACTCGTCGTCCTTTGACGAGTGTCCAGCGAGCAGTTGCGTTAGCCCACGTTCCCAAGAAAACTCACGTGACCAAGTGATTACACTGTGACGTGGTGTCATTGATAATGCCATGTTGTGATGTCGTTGAACACTAGTGTCGACACGGCCTTCTTAAAGCACGCCGTGCTTTCGTATTCAATGCGCACAAGAAGACCTAACTGTATCTAACTTGTTCTTCGTAGTTGTAGCCTTTACTACTACAACCTTATTTAGAATAAAGCGGGCGGGGGTCAGCTAAGCTGTTTGTGTCAACAAACAGATATATATCCTGCCACACTAATTCCGGAGGTGTTGGAAGGGATGACAGAGCCGCCATTGCGTGAAACTGTTTCGATAAAAAAGAAAGCACCCTATGAATGTGTTGTGGAAGGAGTCTTCTTAACTCGTGTAATCTTGCGTGGCGGAAGTGTAGAATTCAACAGACTTCAAAGCATGCTAATTGCGCAACGAGTGCGTGTTTTAAAGGACCAGCCACTACAAATATATTTAATTAACATCAGCTTCAAAAGCATCAACAAAGTGAGCAGCTGTTTCGTGTTGCCCACTACACACGCGCAGTGTGTCACTCACTGATTCGCAAAAGGAAAAAAATTATGGTTATCGGGCGTTTAACAACCGTACTTGTAGTAGAAAAGTTTCAAATAATTAATATTATGCACACAGTTGTTCGTACGACACGGTGGAGGTATGCACAGAGAACCGAAGCGAGGCTAGCAGTTCAGAAGGCGGTGGGCACAGGCCCCGATTACGCATCGTCTTGTACTTTTGAAGGTGAAGCTGAGCATCCTCCAAGCGTTTGTTCCTCTAGCTTGTTGAATTTTTTCAAACCAGTAAATGGTGTTGCATACTGTTAGACTCGGAATGATGCAACCATTTCAAAAATATGACTGCGTTGTAACGTAACGTCTAATAAAAGCAGGCAAGTAATTTGCGTGAATGAAAAGTAGGATTGATGTAAGGATGAAGGCATGTCCGCCTAGAAAACTTGGCTCACAGATGATATTCATCAAAACAAAAAAGCAAAACGAAAGTACGTTGAATATGCCATGTGGCGGAATGTGATAAGCAATGTGCACTTGATTGCCAGACCTCTTTGCATGACCCTATTACATCTCGTTCTTGAAGGTGGTAAAAAACATTGTGCAAAGGAAATCGCTCGTGATACCGAACTCCTTCGCGTCGTACTTTCAGTGTCCGTTCAGTCTGGCGAAACGGACGTACAATAGGCTAATTTTTTTTCCGTCTTTCTTTTTCCCTGTAACTCCTTCCACGCGCTAGCACCAAGGCGAAAACAGCATAAGACGATGAACGGTATTTTTTCACCCGCCAATACAGCTAGGCTTACTGATGCTTGGCACAAAATAGGAGAGAGCGTATAGGTCCTGATGGAGGAGTTCTTGAATTAGAGAAATTTCAATCGAACTCACGCTTAAACAAAGGAACCTGCCCTCGCTTCCAGGCAGACGATGTAAAAATTAACGTTGTTTCCAGTGAAATTCTCTGTTCGACAAATTCTCGCCACTTCAAGCCTCCGTATTCGCCTCAATTTTCTCGTTTGGACTTATCCTTGATATTTGCTCTGCATAGATCGACTCTTGATTGATTGATTTGTGGGGTTTAATGTCTTAAAACCACCATATTATTATGAGAGACGCCGTAGTGGAGGGCTCCGGAAATTTCGACCACCTGGGGTTCTTTAACGTGCACTCAAATCTGAGCACACGGGCCTACAACATTTCAGCCTCCATTGGAAATGCAGCCGCCGCAGCCGGGATTTGATCCCACGACCTGCGGGTCAGTAGCCGAGTACCTTAGCCACTAGACCACCGCGGCGGGGCTGAGATCGACTCTTGTTTTCCACAACTCTTATGGTCTACATAATGACACTATAGACCCGTTGAAATAGCGTAGTCACTTTGTCGACATGGTTGTAGAGACATCTGATGGCGAGACGCGTGCACTGCGGACAGTATACTGTAGAGTAGAAATATTTGTCAAAGGGGCCATGTAGAGACACTGTATATGCTATACCCACAGTAAATTTAGGGCCAAAGAGAGCGGGGTGTCAGCCATACGTGTGTTTGTGAGTGTGTTTGTAGCTGTGCGTGCACACATGTCAAATCGCAAAACTTCGGTGGACCCCCCCCCCCCCCCCCCCACACACACACACACACTTTCCCCTTCCCTGGCTACGCCAGGCCGGAAACACGTGCAGCGCTCACTGTGGCCACGTTAACCAAGGTTGCACGGTGGGCTTGTTGGTTATCTCTAGTATCCGACGTAAACTACATCCAGGACGGGACAGAGCAGAAGACACGTAACGCAAACACTCGGTAACTTGCCTTTACTTGCTATGGGCACCCTTAATATTCACGTACTACTGTGGTTACATTACAAATAGCCACACAGCCTCATTTTGGTGCCGAAGCTGTATCCGAAGGTGACGCGCGAGATCATTAGTGCATCTAATGCGCTGAACTATACGAAATGCTTTAAACGCGTCTACAAGTTGACTCATTCGTCGAAAGATCAGTATGATAGCTGTAGCGCGATGCGTCGAAAGGTGTCGCCTGTCACTTTCGAGGCAGACGACAGAGATTGGGTGAGGTGGGGTAAGGGGCTCGTGACGCGAGGACGTGGGAAGGAGGGGGCTTTTTCCCGGCGACTGATTACAGGGGCAAATGGTGAGGGCGTCCATGCAGACGATCTGTTGCCGCTCTGTTGTGCAAGGCCGCGCTCGCCTGCGGCCACGGAGTCGCGCCAAGCGTACGTGGTAGCAGCGGCTCGACGGGAAACCGTGAACTGTGGTGGTGGTTGCGCAGTCGTGGGCAGGCCGCACCTCTGTGTGTGTGTCCGGAACTGGATAAACGGCAAGAGGAAACGGTGGAAACGTAATGCATAGTGTGGCCTGGAGGATGCGGTGGCAGCCCTTTCTCACTCTTTTGCTCATCTTTTTCCTCTCTTTCTTCTTCCTGCACGAAGAGGTGGAAGCCGCCAGAGGTAAATCTGTTTATCGCTTCATGTCCGCTGTGGCTCTGCGGTTTTTCGTTAGTCAGTACCAGTTGCCGTCAACTATTCACATTCGGGAACATCCGAGCGCAGTTGAGTCAATGCACGTCTAGCTCAATACAAACAAATCGCTTGGCTTCAACTGTAGCCATTCTCCGTTTTAGTCGAAAAGCCGTATTTTACGCTACCAGATATCGTGTTCAGTGAGGGTTAGCGCCACATGTGATATTTGTATCACAGGTTGTGTCACGGGGGATAATGAGCACCTGACAGAGGTTTCGTTGAAAATTGTCCTTTCCCGTATGGTCTTTTTTAAATCCAATCCCCAACCCCCGCCCAGTACTAGCCCTGAATTTAATGTTCATCAGGTAGCTTCTGAAACGCTTCCCAAAACGTTTTGCACTAAAGTGTATGTGCAATAATAACAATGATTGTGGGCACTGACAAACCATCGCCCAGTCTAAACGTCTGCAAAATGCATAGCAGTCAGTTTATTTACGTATCGCTCCAGCGGACGTTGGGGCCCAAACGAAAAAAAATATCAGTTTTCAAATTTGCCCAGCGCATGGTGTTTACGGCACTTAGCTCGAACTGTATTAATCCTACATATTGCAAACGTGTAACCTTCTCAGTCAAGATTCATTTTGTATGTTGACGATATGTGCATTTGGAGGTCTGGTACTAATGTTCAAATAATTCAGATACCATTGCAAGAGGACATGAATAATGTTAACCAATGTTAACAAAGAATAGAATGCATCACTTATGTATTGATGCTCCTTTGAGAAGTTGTTTGACAATAGTGTCTACATGCTTTTTGAGTGTATATTTTTTGTTACTTGTCTTGATTTTATTGTGAAAACTCTGTTTGACAGTTTGTAATTACCATGTCCTGTTAATCCTTGCGTTACTATGAGAAATTTGTGTGCTACACACTCGAGCCCTTCAAGAGCTAAGGCGTAGCTAACACGGTAATTGTGCGCCAAGATGCCCTCACATCACATGAGTACACGCAAAAAAAAAATAAAACTACACACTTCCTCTCATTTTCAGTACACCTGGCATGCATTCGCTTGTGCAGGGAACAGGGGTAGTGCGTGCCGGGCAAGACACCCAACGCGTAACTTCGAGCTGACTGACGGTCGATGCATGCCAGTGCACGAGTGCCTGCAGTCTTTGAGGGACGTGGGCAGACTCAAGTTCCCAATCTTCTGCGGTGTCGACATCCTGCTGCCCATCGTGTGCTGTCCCACCTGGCCGCGTCCGTCCACGCCCCCGACGACAGCGAGCCCAGGTAAGCCTGGGTGAGCGAATGTGACGTAACTTTGCAAGACCACGCTTGGCCATTTCCCCCTTTTGAAGAACCTGCTAACCGAAAGACACATTTTAGTGAGTTCCACGTAGTGAAAACCGTCGGATGGCGAAGCTGTCAGTAGTATTGGAATGTATATGACAGGCTAGCGAGGTCACGTGACGTTGTACATCAGCCGCGAGATTTGAAATACACGCGCCACAGATTGCGATCATCGCCATCATCACTTCGTTTCAGTAATATTTAAATCACTTACACCTATCTCACCACCTGACATGCATGGTGACTACTACTACTACTACTACTACTACTACTACTACTACTACTACTACTACTACTACTACTACTACTACTACTACTACTACGATCACGACGACGACGACATTGACAGTGGTGGCACAGGGCTGACTAAGACAGCTTCAGTGTGAATGATATGGGTGCCAGGCCATCGTAGTATATTTATAAGTGAGATGGCTGACACACTCCCGCGAACATCCCTTGATCTTCCGATTGTGCCAATGCCTTTTACAGCTTATGTAAAAGCAGCGAGGTTCAGAAGACTTTTCCTTCTTGAAGACTCATCAAAAATTACGATACAGAATACAGATTTCTCGCACCAGTACTTCGCATGGAATAATTAATGGTGTCCCAAGCGTAAATTGGAGGTCTCTATAACAAAATTATGTTGCCGTGTACCACCTCTTAATTTCTACTTAAACAGGTCTGGTCTGATGCCATCCCTTCAGTGCTCAAGCTGTAATGAACCTGAACATATCGACCATTTTCTTCTCACATGTCACCGTTTCAAAAATCAAAGAAAAAAATGCTTCGAAATTTTATTAAAAACTAGGAATATCACTTACTACTCCTAATATTTTGTCTTTTGGGGCTGCTTCAATAGGACACAGCGACAGGAACATCTACGGGGCTCTCTGCGAATTCCTATGTAAGACGAGAAGATTACCTTGCTGAACCATTGATCAACTCTTGATTTTTACTAGCCAATCTACCATTTATTATTTAGCTGTTACACTGTATTGATTTAACCTTCAGAAGAATTTCATATAACGATTACACCTCAGAGGTTCAACAAACTTTATCATTTCTCTTCCCCCCCCCCCTCACTTTTTTTTTCATATTGTGCTAAATTAATTTCACAGTCAAAACAAAGTAGTCCTATTCCCCTAGTCTGGAAAACCTAAAGGTATTGACTTGCATTAACCACCGTTCTCTTGGCCAATCCCTCTTAATGGGTGAGAACCACAAAAGAAAGGATCAAGCAAGCAAGCAAGCTTCATTATTTAAAAAAAATTACCACTGATATTGACTGGCGTCAGCTCTCATGTGCGACTATAACGTAGCAACGGCTCTACGACACTCGGTCAGTGTAGTGAAAAACATGCCCAGTGACTCTATGCGCTAACGTACACGAAGAAAACTAAAGATTTTTGACGAAACCATCAGGGTTGCGGAAAACTTGCAAGCGTCCGAACGCCCCTGCTTCCACCCAGGATGTTCTTCGCTGTGGTGTATTTCACCCGATGAGGTATGCCTTTTGTCGCATAATGGTTATAGCATAAAGATCTCGCGCGGGGGCCCCAGAGTTTAAATCTCGTCATCTCAATATTTTAAACATCCTTATTTACGTTTATCATGTGTACCTTTGGCCTGCACTTACGTCACTCGTCCGTAAGTGACATCCCACTTAAATGTAGATGATCATCTCGTCCGGAATCCTATGTGCTATGCAACTAGGAAGAGTATTTGCATTTCAAATATTAAAAAAATGTTCTAGAGTTTGGTAAGCATCTAAGTGAATTCGTATGGATTTATGCTATATAGATTACGTTTAGAATAAGCCCAATGTCCTGAAAGTTAAGTTTAAATTATGAATAGTTTTTCACGTGTTCAAGCGACGCCTGCTCAAGAAGTGCTGCTTGAACTATATTCGATTTGTTTTCGAGTGAATATAGTCATTTTTGTGATCATCTTTTCACTACTAGAGCGTTAGTCGATGAGTTTGAGTAGTCGAGTGCTGAAGTCAGGACATCCACTGGGAAAATCAATGATTCCCGTAATCATGCTCTGGCGATCATGAATTCAACCGAACAGATACTAGATAAAGTTAAATTGTGAACATGTGTTTTCGTTTAGAGTTGTGCATATTTCACTGTACAAACTAATTATTGTTATTTATCCATCTCTACTTTGTATTATAACGACATTTTTTGTTACAATTATTTGTATTTTCAAGAATGAGACCATGCGTTATAATTCAGCGTTTTGGGGGCTTCTTTGTGAAAGTCACGCCGGCTTTTTGGGGCTGCTTCTGCGATGACTATTCGCTTGTTTGCTCGGTAACATCGGACAACCATGCTGGTCACCTTTGCTGATGTAACAACCTTGAAATAAGGGAAGATTTGTACTTGGCATTCTTTTTGTGTACACACGTACGTACGTTCATGTACATTGTGTGTGTGCAAACACGTACTCACCTAAACAAAGCGTGTGTACATCACGTTTACAAAAATGTAACAGTGTACAAGTCTCTTATTACGTCTGCCAGGCATGCTCAGCTGCGGGTTGCACTTTCGAAAACTCCACTGATGTGGGCAGCGAAAGTTGATGCCAGCAAGTGTGGTGATTACAGCAGCGTGATAAGACACGTGCGCAAAAGTCGGGCTTGTTTTTCTTGGTTACACTTGCAGGGCTGGCATGTGGGAAAGCACAGAGAAAAGATTTAAAAGTGGAAAACACGTTTACATGTTTTTTTCCTTTTTTTTGACCTAGGAAACTAACGAAACCAGCGTAAATAAGGCCTATAAGAAAGGGTACACTATTTTTTTGCTCATTATTTGTAGCGAAGTAGTTATGATATCAATGCGAAGAAAATGAAGCAAACTAAAAGACATCTTTCCGCCAGTACGGATTGAATACACGACCTTCGGATAACGCGAAGGGTCGGTCCCTATCAGCGACATGTCTTTTCATCCACTTTAATATATCTACACTGATGTGATCATTGCCACAAGGCAGCTAAAAGCTTTCTTTGCGTTCACTGCATGTTGGTTTATTAGGTTGTATGCAACAAAGAAAACTAGTCTTTGATCAAGTTTCTCTTCCTTTGTTTTTTCCTTTTCCTTTTTTTAAGCTAGTCTTATTCCACAAGTTACGAGGCCTGAATAAGTGGTGATAAAATTCAGAAATTATGTGATAGGTTCAGCAAGGCTGCACAAAAAACATAAAAATGGAGCAAACTTAGAACGCGATTTCACGAAGACAACCTTGTAATTACTGGTGAGGCCGATTAATTTGAATAGGAGAAGCGTAAGTGAAAGGAAACATTGACGAGAAGCCAATCGTGATTTTGTGTTGAGCACGCGTTTAAAGATCCCCCCCCCCCCCCCCCCCACAGTTCATTTATTTTGCCGTGGGTGAAGCGAAACAGTCCAAATAAATAAATAAATAAATAAATAAATAAATAAATAATAAATAAATAAATAAATAAATAAAGCCTAAGCTGTGCATTCTGCGGGAACGAGTTTTACAAATGTTAGTTTCGCGCTGGATTTGAGAGGTATGTAGATGACTGTCAGTTCGCGCCATATAAGAGCTATGTTTAAAATCATAGGCTGTAAAAAGTTTTTATAAGACTGTAGAACTAGCTGCAATCGTTTATTTATTTATTTTTGTTTATGTATTTATTTATTGGCCATTTGAATAGAGAAGCCAGGACCATTTTCACAAAACTGCAGTTGACTGACAGAACCAACTTGCTTTTTTAATAAATTAGCACAATAGCAAAACGCGACTCGCACGGTGAAGATATCTTCCACACAAAACGACTTCGACATAGAGTTGGAGTGACTCCGAACACTTAGACACCGGGCGGAGCGTCGGTATCGGCGTACAAAACCAATTCACGATCTCAGGGCAGCCAGGAGGATGCAAAAGAAGATTCAGTGTCGCATGGATAGACTAGCGTCGGAACGATGGACAACGTTTTGCCAGTCATTAGACCCTCGCAAGCCACTCTTACACATTTGGAAAGCCGTGCAAGGTCTGCGTCACCCTATACGGAACAGCGTTTTCCATTCAAAGCGCTCGCGCTCTTTCAAGGGCGGCAAGACATCGATGTCGCAGAAGGTTTCTGTGCGCAGATCGCCAACCAAGCCACTCATCCAGATTCTCCAGTGAGAGGTGACGTCCCCCGTTCCCGTGACTACCACATGGACCCCCCTTTTACAATGGAGGAGCTCGAGGCGGCACCAGCTCTCTGTAAGCGTTCAACTTCTCCGGGTCCAGATGGTATTTCCTACCGAGCCTTGTGCAACCTTGGGGAACGTGCAAGGAGAGAACTGCTGAGCATTTACAACATCTCGTGGCAGGATGGCAATGTCCCTGACGACTGGAAAATAAGCCGCTTGTTACCCATCTTGAAGCAGGGCAAATCCCCACTCGAACTCGCCTCATACCACCCAATAGCACTGACCAGCTGCGCAGGAAAAATAATGGAAAGGATGATACTAGGCTGCCTGGAGTGGTATCTTGAATACTACAAGATTTACCTGAATTCCATGGCTGGTTTCCGACGCAACCACTCTTCCATTGACAATGTCGTTGATCTAGTTTCATACGTTCAGCACGAAAGATCCCGTAAGCGACTATCTACAACCTTGTTTCTAGATGTGAAAGGCGCGTATGATAACGTACTGCATGAAGTCATTTTGGGTGCTCGTGTGGTGGTTGGCCTTAGTGGTCGAGTCTTTCGGTGGATTTCGAGTTACCTGGCTGCAAAAGCATTCTTTGTGCTAACAGAAGATGGCTCAACTACGCGACGCTATACTTTCAGGGGTGTTCCTCAAGGCGGAGTTCTTAGCCCGACGTTATTCAATCTTGCACTAATTGGCCTTGCTGAATACTTGCCAAGTACCATTAAGATCTCAATATACGCAGACGACATCTGTGTCTGGACTTCGGTAGTCACACGTCCTCAGATACGTTCCGGGCTTTAAAAAGCAGCAACTATGATTGCCAACTACTTGTTAAAACGAGGTCTCAACATGTCACCAGAAAAATTTGCACTGGTGGCCTTCATTCGCAAAGCAATGACCCCTTACTTCATATAAATCTGCGGGCGACCCATTTCTTACGCCAGAACACACCGGTTTCTGGGCATCATTATTGATAGGGACTTCTGTTGGAGTCCGCATGTGGCCTATATGAAAAAGCGCCTGACCGCTATTTTCCAATTGTTCAAGTGTCTGGCAGTGAAGACGTGGGGGATGTCAGTAGACACAATGCTGGAACTCTACAGAGCCCTGTTTCTCGGTTTTCTGAGATACAGCTTGCCCGTGCTGAGCAATACCTGCAAGACCAATGTTCGTGTTCTACAGGCAGTACAAGCCCAAGCACTGAGAGTGTGCCTTGGTCTGCCCAGATGTACGTCTACAGAGGCAACAATTGCAATTGCTGGTGACTATCCAAATATAAACTCACATAACTGTAGACGTCCTGAGAACGCACTTCAGACACTTTGCACGTGCTTCCTGTCTTCACCTTGCACTGTTGCCTTCGGAGAGGTGCCAAGCATCGTTGGCTAAAATAATTTTGAAGTACAACGAAAAACTTCCCTCGGGCTTCACTCCTGCCTCGAAACCATCAATAACTCTCTGGTGTCTTATTCGACCCACAGTGCATCTTAGTGTACTAGGGATCCGGAGGAAATCTGAGCTTTCATCACCCGTGCTGAAACAACTGTCTTCTTTTGCACGAGAAATATTCACAGTGTACATATATATACCGATGGCTCCACGAACCGCCAGGTTTCGTCAGGTGCAGTAGTTGTCCCAGCAAGAGGTGTTATCATCAGCTTTAGGACTGACCACTCCACGGCATCTACAGCATCGGAACTATAGCTGCTTTGAGCGCTGCACTATGTGTGGTCAATCCAGAACCACCGCAACAATGGTCGATTTTCAGCGACTCAAGGGCTGCCCTACAATCTGGGCTCTCAGCACTGCGTCGCGGGCCGTACGAAGAGCTTGTTTTCAAAATCCGATGCCTTCTCCCCACTTCACACGAGAAAGGGCATCATGTGACGTTTCAGTGGCCGCCAAGTCACTGCGGCGTCATAGAGAACGAACATACCGATACCGCCGCGCGGGCAGCTCTTGAAGGAACACGAGAAAAAGCCATACCACTTTAGCGGACCGCTGCTGCCAGTAATCTTCGATGACTTGCGCGTGAAATCACGTTTTCACTATGGTGCCCACCAAGCAACGAGAGGAATCGTCTACACCATCTGTCCTCTTTGAGATGACTCTCCGCATGCTCAGTGGGCTCAACCGAAGAGAAGCCACCCTTCTTCATCGCTTATGGCTATGGATGGCATTTGCAAAATGTTACTCATTTGTCATAGGAATGGCCGACAGCTCTCTGTGTGATGCCTGTCGTTGCGAAGAGACGCTACACCACATCCTGTGCGACTGTCCGTTGTATGACATCCAAAGACAGTCACTGGCGTCGGCTTTTGCGCGCATCGACAACAGCCAAATGTCGGTGGACACTATTCTTTAAAGTGCCTGAGAGATAACATTGCAACAGAAGGCGACAAAAGCCCTGTTGAAATTCCTACGCGACACGGACTTGAAGAACAGGCTGGAACAGCAATGTCATACACGACGAAAGACAAGACAGGGCTCTGACTGAGTGTGCTGCCTAATGTGCTGCCTAATGTTCTGTGTTTATCTCTCTTCCCTCTCTCATCTATCTTTCATCTCCCCCCCTCCCATGCACAGGGTAGCAAACCGGCTGCCGATAGGCTGGTTAACCTCCCTGCCGTTCTTTTCCTCCTATTTTTCTTCCTTCCTGTCACTAGTCTGAGAGATTGATGCTGCTGTGAAGGGTAAACAACGCGGACTATTGCCTTCAGAGATGAAGAGATGTGCAACCAATTTAAATAAAATGACAACGTCACTCCTCCTTGCCCGGCAATGAGGCTGCACACCAGACAGCTTGAGGTCTTACAGACCGAGCCTCTGGATTGCCCTGGTCGAACGGGGAGGATGATGAGAGATTTGAGTGGATGGCCACTTACAGAGATATTACGCAGTATTACAGGCTAAGCAGGAAAATTTATCCTCCCGCACGCTCGTCATTGAACAAAGGACAGGCGGTGCGTGGCACCTACTCCAGACCCACACGTTTCCTAGTCCGGTAACAATGAACCGCTGCGTGCCAGAACTTCATTTGGACAAGTGTAAATTCTGCCATAACAGGGCACACTTGCGCCACATTTTATGGGCATGCCCGCGGGCCCCCATGAGAGGCGAATTTCCAGACGGGAGTGGATGGGATGCCGCGCTCCTCAGCTCTGACTCTCAATTACAAGCCCGCTTAATACGGCAAGCCGAAGACGCCGCCAGGGCCCATGGGATCATGGCCGTCGTCTAGGTTTGGTCCTCCATTCTCCTCTCGCCCCTGAAATGGGAAGAGGACCTTCCTGCTAATTAAATAAAGTTTGTTCATCATCATCAGGGTCAGAAATGTGTGTTAGAGTGACAAGATTCGTTCGTTTGCTGTCAGTTCTTTTACCCCGCAGCAGTGGTCTAGTGGCTAAGGTACTCGGCTGCTGACCCGCAGGTTGCGGATTCAAATCCCGGCTGCGGCGGCTGCATTTCCGATGGAGGCGGAAATGTCGTAGGCCCGTGTGCTCAGATTTGGGTGCACGTTAAAGAACCCCAGGTGGTAGAAATTTCCGGAGCCCTCCACTACGGCGTCTCTCTTAATCATATGGTAGTTTTGGGACGTTAAACCCCACAAATCATGCTGTCAATTCTTACCAAAAGGATTCATGGGAAACTAGAAACAGAAAAAAGATCTTATCTAAAATCTCACCTTTTCATTATAAACTGTACCTGCTTGTAACGAAAGCCCGGAAGATAAACTGATGGCGATCCTGTGGCAAGATAATTCGATTGTTCACTCTATCTGCAGGTGCAAGGTTTTATATATTAAGATATCGGAGAATGGTAAACTATTTATAGCAACTCACGCGGAGTGCTTTCGCCTATGATTGGATTGTGAAGTGCTCTTCAGTGTAAAAAAAAAGATACTCGAACGTATGTGAAGATAAGACCCACTTTTTGGTGCCTGACTACTCAATATTTATGGCATGCGCAGTGACACCACCACCGGCGATGCCAATGCCAACACCAGACTCATCCGCGAAATTTGTCGACGGACCACCACAAGGTAACGTAAGGGCTGTTGGTTTGCTCACTTTTTGAGGGTGGTGATCGTGTGCGCGCCATTACAATTGCTTCACACTGCAATAGAACAGCGGTGATGGCGTTATACTGAATGGTCATGCTGTCAATAAAACGAAAGCGTTGGTTTGCTCACGCTCATTTGAAAAGTGGTTGAAGCAGAATTACCAAGCTGACCCTGCCTCATATGATTGCGGGGAAAAAGCACGGAGAGGGGATGGGGACGAAAAATCGCAGGGGAACTGTAGCAGCGTCCGTTTACCGTAAATGCGGAAATATCGTACTGTTGTGGTCGGCACGCAGTTTTTGAAAGAACGCTTCAGGGCCTGCCGGGCTGTCATACGCTGCGATCTATCTGATGTAGTCGATTGGCTTAACGCGTGGAAAACTATGCATAGAAGAGCCACGAGTATTGTAGCCATGTGTCGTATTGTATATCAAGGGGGCAGGGAAGAAGCGAGGATGAGGAGAAGTGGTGTGAAGAAGAAGATGAGCGAGAGGAGAAAGGGAGAAGATAGAGTAACGAAACGGCAAGTTTGGTTCGCTGGTGTTTGTTCATTTTTAAAGAAAACCACGCTCAAGAAACGCAGACAAAAAGAGATGCTGTGTGCTGTTTTTCTTCAATAACGGAGAAAGTAAAGTACAGCCAGCCAAATTTTTTAACTATCGCGTCCAAGCGGCGACTTTTCTGTGCATCAGTGCCATACGACGGAACCGAGTTGCAAGTGGGGTGAAGGTAGCACATGCCCACAAAGCGTGCTCAGCTTGGTTCGTCGCCTGCCGGGCTCTTCCTTCTTACCACCTCGCTGCACATGAACCACGTTTTACTGCTTATCTCCTCAGTATGGGTGTGGGCGTATCTTTTAATGTCAATTCCTCGATTTGAGGTGGAAAAGAAAATGTGTCTGAAACTATTCGCCTGCTCATGCTGCTGGGCCCAGCTGAGCTCAATTTGTGGACATGCGCTTACCCTCGCACTGTTTGAAACTCGGCTCTGTCGTACGGCGCTGAAGCATCAAACAGTCGCCGCTCGCGCACGACTGTTCCTGACCACACACACGCCCGTTGCAGCGCGTCGTGGTATTCTGACGCGGCGCCGAGCCCTCTCCCTACGGTGGTGGTAGTGGGTAGAAGAAAGAGGAAAAAGGCACCTAATTTCTGTCTGCCTTCAGGCGACACGGCGCAGTGCCTTACAGGGGTGGGGAAAAGGAGGGATAAAAAGAATAGAAGGAAAATAGACGAAGAAGTAGACAGGCAAGCGACGGACAAAAGAAGGAGACAGGAAAGTGGGGATCCGGTCGAAGCAGTCCAAGGGCGGGGCGCCACAATGCGAGAGCTGCACGGCGTCAGGAGACCGCGGAGGGCGAACCAGTCGGCGGGAGCTACGCTGGCGTCGGAGATCGCGAGGGCACAACCGTCCAGCTTGAAATCCTGCGAGCGAATCCCCTCTCCCTACGGAAAGAGTGGGCGCGCAGCTGGCGCAGCTTCGCGTAACCATGCACCCTCTCACTCCTTAGATAGGGAGAGGTTGATTTGACGCACTGCAACGGTTGGGTGTGGTCAGGGCTCAAGAGATTTGGCCGGCTGTACAGCATGGCCATGTATAGTGTAGCATAGCAAGATGGTGGGAAAGGCAAGTGGGTGTGACGAAAAGTACAAAGATGAGGGGAGGGCAAAGCACATCGCACAGCCTGCATAATATAGTATAGAAAGGTTGTGGGAAAGAAAGGTCTGTTTGAGGAGGAGGCCATGGAGGAGAGGTTGAGGAGCAGAGAACAGGGCGGCACTTCATCACAGATGAAGATTTCTTTTACCTCCATGGACGTCGAGCAGGCTGTACGAGTGGAATGCCAGCGCTTGCTTGCCCGTCAACGCCAGCGTCTCGGAAGGGCTGGCGAATCACTTCAGCACCCTCGAGACTGTTTTCCCGTTGAGTGCAACTGTTCAGATTTCTTAGTGAGCAAGATCTTTATATGCGGCTTTCATTTCTTTACCTTTTTGAAAGTTGCATGCTGACTTCGAAAGCACGGTATTTCCGTACTTACCAAATGTACGCCAAACCGGCGCTTCTAAAACACTCTTGTAACTTCACAGTGCGGCTTGGATTGTTAAGAATCGAGTGTGAGTTCGCAATAATTGGGAGCCAGAAACCGGAAAAGCAACATTTTCAGTGTAAAGCAACTTTTTTGCATCTATAGCCATCGCCGACAACAGTCTGTCTAGACTAAAAATTTATCGACGCTCAACATGTAGCACTCGCTTGACGGTGTATCAAGTAATTTGAGACGAGTGCAATGTAAGCAATTTTTGGTGGATTTTATTACCTTTAGTATTCACAGTTCAATGCCACTTCATTCTGTTGATAACGAGGTTGTTATTCCGTGGGTATATCAGACGTGAAACTTATCCATGTTCTTGTATGTAAAAAAATATTGACGTACAGGTTTTTACATACAAATTTTCACGTACGCTGAGACCAGGAATAACTAATATGCAAAGATAAAAACAAAACAGGAATAGGAAGAGAGAAGCTTGCGATGAAAAATCTGTAAAAAGGAGGTGTCTGCTCAAGCCGATGTTTTCACTAGTCGAAACATCGGCTGAAGCACACACACCCTGCTCATGGATTTTTTTCATCGATTGGCGAAGATGACTACATTGCGCTGATCTTTGTTTCTAGTCAATTTTATCAACAGTTCGGGTAGGATAACGCTGTTTCGACCACTATGTTTTTTTTGTGTGGCTTACGAGTGTATGGCCGCGTCTCGGTGCGTAAATTTCGGTGTCCTGACTTGTCAACACAGGGAGCCTGACTTGATTGTTTATTTTCCTTGTAGCTTTTAATAGTGACGTTTCTCTCCCGTGTTACGAGCAGTACGCCACTCTTCGGAACACTCTTGCTTACAGAACCTTTACAAAGCCCACCAGCAGACAGCCCACCAGCTGTCCCTGTCGTGTATTCCGAATCAGATGGTAAGAACACGCACTTTTTTCTGCTTTCACGCTAAACACAACCCACCCTTTTGCACGAACATTTATCATCTTCACTATATAGCAAGCACTCATGCGGATGCTAGGTCAGAGGGAGAGAGGAAAAAACAATTATTACATAAAGCTTGAGCACGTGAAGGTGGGAGGGTATCACATTCTATGAACTCTCTGGCCTGGACCACCCACTAGGCTCGAGCGACGAGTTCACACTGGTCGATCAGGTCCGGCTGGAAGATCGCAGTCACCCACGCTTCACTGATAAGGTTTAGGAGGTTGGTTGATTGGATGGAACAACTTTATTCAAGTCCTGTGGGATGCACCCTAGCGCGCAGTGGGCGACTCTCACGCCGGTACCATGGCAAATTTTAAAGACGATAGACTTTTAAAGACGATAGTCTTTTTTGGGGACATTCGACGCAAAAATTTTGTTCTGCCCGTCTGTCTGTACATTTGTCGGTTTGTCCACCCTTAACGTTACCGCAAACGGTACCAAAAGATACCCCAAATGGTCGACCCCATCCGCAGCGCCCACCAATATTGCTCAAGGTACAGCGTTCATACTTGTGCAATTGTCAATTAGAAACAATTATTGCGCATATCTAAGGCACCGTAACAACACGTCAATATTATGTATGTGTATTTTTTACTAGAAAAGGCATACATAAGTAATCCTAAGGACCATGGTGTTTATCACGCAGCGCTGACCATGCAACGCTTGCGCGAAAAGGCAAATGTTTCCAACGCTTTACTAAGACGACATGGTGGTTGCACCTACCCGTCGCCTTGCGTTCTACACCTTATCGCCTCCAAGACGGGCGCGCACGCCGCGCTCTTCGTTTTCCAAGATAATTGGCAGGTATAGCGCTTATGTCTCACGTGTGACGTGACTTGATGCGCTCGTTCGCCACCGCTGCAAGCTCGAGGCACTCTAACGCAGCGCCTCCAGAATACCATTCACCGATATTTTGCGCAGAACATCAAATAAACGTTTTGCTCACTGTCTCTAGACGCAAGACTGTCGTCTTTCGACGACATTTGCAGTGTAACATGCAGATAAGGGGCCAATTTTTTATTCGGTAACTGCTCGTTTTTTTTTTTTTGCTTGGTGTGTCGTAAAAACGGAGGCCCACTGAAACTGTCACTTCATCTTAATGGTACTTGCGCACATTTTTTTCTCACGTGTACGAGGACTGCCAGACGTACAAATGCCAATTTTTCGTTAAAAAGAATTAAAGAAATCAACAAAAAATGAAAAGTTTTCGTCTGATTGTTGGCGCTGTTCGATAATAATAATAATATGTTCGCTATTCGTATTGTACACTTTTGCTTGACTACCAACACGAAGGTCGCGGGGTCGAATCCCGGCCGCAGCGGCCGGGATTAAATGGAGACAAAATGCTAGACACCTGTGCTCTTAGATACATGCACGTTAAAGAACCCCTGGTCGATAAAATTTTTGGAGCCCTCAGCTACAGCGTTCCTCATAATGATGTCGTGGCTTCAGGACATTATTATTATTATTATTATTATTATTATTATTATTATTATTATTATTATTATTATTATTATTATTATTATTATTATTATTATTATTGACCATTTTCCGTTCTTGGGAAATTTACGTGAGTAAAAACATTTTCTGCATGTGGTTCCAGATACACACCCTCCACTAAGCCCTGAGCGCAAGGCCGGTGCATGATACTGCGTGCTACTCGTCTAAGTTTTATCATTGTGCTTATTATGTAGATATACTTGGTTACTTGCTATGAGCTATTAGCTAAGCTATGCAGAAGCGGTCCATCTGCCTAGCGTAGCTTGTCAATCCTTCTATTCAACAACCATTTCTCAGCCCCAAGCTATTCGTTTGTCATTGTGTATATACGTGGTCAGTCGCGCAGAACCGGCGGCTGAGTGCGAGACGCCCACTGGTCAGCCGGGTGCGTGCCTGCCGCTGGAAAGCTGTGTGCCGCTGCGCGAACAAGTTCGCCGCAAGGAATTCCCGCCACTCTGCGATCTGCGAGGCACAACGCCGTACGCCTGCTGTCCCGCGAGACTGTTCCGCCAAGGCTCGCATCACATCCACGACGTGGAGACGACTACTGCACAGCCTGAGGACGATATGCCGACGGCGGCTCTGAACAGGGCCGTTCGCATGACGCAGATCGTGCTCGAGAACAATCAGTGTACGTTGCATGTATACATTCTCAATGCACTGACTTCTCGTACAGCAAAAAGTGTATATGTGGACTCTTGTCTCCGGCATCGTTGATGTGGTCATGCTGAAAGGTCACGTGACTAATAAGGAGAAGAGGGGAAGTGATGAGAGGAGGATGGGAATAGGTGGTCAGTACGTAAGGCTGGTCTCGCCGTAGCAGCTTACATGTAGGGCATCGCGTTGCCAAGCTCGAGGTTGCGGGTTCGATTCCCACCTTTGGCGGCCGAATTTCGGTGGGGTCGAAATGCAAGGAGCACCGGTGTGCTTAAGTATGGGTGCGCGTTAAAGAACACCATGTGGTTAAAATTGCCGGAGCTCCTCCCACGACGGCATACATAATAAGCGTGGTTTTGGGGCGCAACCCCCCCCCCCCCCAAGTATTTATCTAAGGCGGGCGATTCAAATGGCATTGCACACAGTTCGTCCGACACATAATTAGCTAGCTTTACGTAGGGATAAATGAAGCCAAGCTGCATGAATATTTTATTCGTCTGGTACATTAACTATGCAGGTAAGGGCCAAGCACTCCATTTGAGTCCATGATGCATTTTTTTTAGCAATGTCCATATTTCATTTTTGGTACTTGTTTTCTTAATATTTTCAGCATCAGTACTGACTATGATTTGCTATTACTAAACATTCTAGCATAACTTTTTTTTGTTCTTGTGGTTGTTCATGTATACGGAGAACCATTAGCTGTTTTACGCATATCTATCGCACGTTTGATTTTGTGAGACGAACAGCCTTTTCTCTTTTTACACTTCTCAAGCTTTCAATTTGTCTACGCGCGCACAGTTTGTGGAAGGACCCCGAAGTTGTTTCTTGGTCAGCAAAGGAGGACCGTACCCACCGTTTGGGAGGCCGCTCCGTAAACCTCGGAAAGTACCCTTTTGCCGTAAGTATGCTGCTGAATAGTACTAACGTTCGTTGCAGTACCGCGAAGAACTCATTAAACTCTGAAATAATGTGCAATATAATCAAATTTAGCCAGGAAATATAAAAAAAACGATGAGCTTGTCGGATTTTTTTATCTTTAAAGGTATACGATTTTGTAATAATTGAAACCAATTACTTCTTTCACAATACGAAGGTTAACACTCTGGTTGTGAGAACGTGCGTGATAAAAAAAAGAAGAAAAATAACGCACATGAATTTAATCCGATGGCGACGCAGTGTCGAGGTCAAAGCACCAACTTATTATGATGCCAGTTTTTGACAGCGTCTGCAAGGAATTTATTGCTGTCGTTAAAACGAATGAAACTGTGTCATAAAACAGCTAACTCAGTTATTTCACAGCAATTTTCACAAAATATAATTGTGCCAATGAAGTCAAAATACAAGAAAGAGTCATTTGAAATCTGTGACGCCACACTGCAATTCATGTGAAGTCAAGGTGTGAAATTAAAACAATAAAATTTTATTCATATTTTTTTTCTTTCGGAAGTCAACTTATGAATGCAAAACTAACGCCACTATATTTGTGAAAAAAATTCATCACTCTAAATTGATTTACTGCTTCACTTTGCTGAGTGATGTTTTAGTTGTTGAAGCATTTTACTGTAGTAACGTGATTGCAAGATACGAAGTGGCCCCGTTGCGGTGGTCTAGTGGCTAAGGTACTCGGATGCTGACCCGCTGGTCGCGGGATCGAATCCCGGCTGCGGCGGCTGCATTTCCGATGGAGGCGAAGATGCTTTAGGCCCGTGAGCTCAGATTTGGGTGCACGTTAAAGAACCCCAGGTGGTCGAAATTTCCGGAGCCCTCCACTACGACGTCTCTCAAAATCGTATGGTAATTTTGGGACGTTAAACCCCACATATCAATCGTCAAATATACAATGCTTGATTAATTTTATTTCGCTTCCAAGTCCCGACAAAGCACAAGGAAACTTAAACGCTCTCTTCCATTCCACAAGTTGAGTTATTCCGAGTAAAGCATGCGCAACTGTCTGCGTGCTGCACCGCGCTTTGTAGCACGTGGAATACCTTCATGCATTGTAAGATGCTGTTTATGGAATTACATTGCGCGTTTCGTTGTCATGGCTCAGATGTAAATGCCACACTTTTGCGATAGTTTTTTTTCCTGATGCCCATAATTACGTATGCGCTCTCACATCGCCGTGGCATTGTTACTACCCTGTGATATTCTAGAATATTTCATTTGAACTGTCTCTGGCATACACCTTGCTTTCGCCAAACAATCTAAACCTCTCTATACGAGAACAATAGTTTACACCATTATGCTTTCAAAACACATGAATAAGGTAACATATATTCAAAAGCACGTGAAGATAAAAGTTAAAGTGCCATTTTTCAATGGCTGATATAATTTGTAAAACATACAAGGCACATATAGGCCCAAGTAGCCCATAGTCTCCTTCCACACACCCCCTCAGTAAAAAGAACAAACAAACGAATGAACCAACCAAGCAACAAACAAACAAAAAACAAACAAACGAACAAACAAAGAACTGAACAAACAGGTATTTCTGGACGAGACTTTTAACGTGATGGCATAACAGTGCAAACTATGGGAGAGTGAAACACCCAAGGCACAGTCATTTACCTTGGAAGAGTAGTGGCACGACCACAGGATAAAAAAATTTATGCACTTCTGCCATAATGTTCACGAACCCTATAGACCACCTAATAAACTTGCCGTGTTATAGTTTAAAATGACTTGTTGGGCGAGCTGGTTCATTCTTAACGTATCTGTAGCGCGAAAAAAAAAAAACACGAGAGAAGGACAAGCGCTAATCTGTCTCTCGTGTTTTTTTTTTTTCGCGCCGTAAGCTAGGTTAGGTAGGGGCTTAGGTGAGTTTCAAACTAGTTGTGTGCGGCAAATATGTGTGAGCTGCCCACACGATGTGTGGAAATTAGCAAACAAAATGAGGTTGGTCATACCAGGCCTGACTAGCGAAATTGTATGAAATTGCATCATAGAAAAATACTCCTGACATCACTCCAAATGCTTCTATATAGTGATGTTTTTATACTGTTACTGATGTGATGTGTTTACTTGCACAAAAAATGCCAGCGATCAACCATCACTGCCGAATCACCATCACTCGAGAGCGTCCTACCTCTTCTTCTTTCTCGCTCTTTCAGTCCACGTTACAATTTCCCCCGAGCAAGACGAAGCTCATGGAGTGAGTAGAAGCGATCAGTTGTTGTAGGGCTTCAACCGGGCAATGTGCACAATTCGCGTCTTACGCGAACGCCGGTTCTGAGCTGTCACTTTCGCAACCGCGTAAGTGACGTTGATTGATTTGTGGGGTTTAACGTCCCAAAACCACCATTTGATTATGAGAGACGCCGTAGTGGAGGGCTCCGGAAATTTTGACCACCTGGGGTTCTTTAACGTGCACCCAAATCTGAGTACACGGGCCTACAACATTTCCGCCTCCATCGGAAATGCGCGTAAGTGACGTCACTCAAGCACTGGGTAATGACGAATGATCCCGAGTACTTAGAAATAAGCTTCTGGCAAAGTCCCTTCTTTCGAACAGGCGTCCACAGCCAGATGAAATCACCCGTAGCGAAAGTCACAGGCGGGTGTTTTGCGTCGTAACGGTCTTTCGCGCGAGCGTGGGCGGAAAGAGTTCGGAGCCGAGCAAGTCGACGGCTTCTTTGGCGCGACTCAAAGTCTGCGCGACACTGGCGTTTTCGTTCATCGAAAAAGGAAGTATGCTGTCAAGAAAGCTTTGGGGATGACGAGCATAGAGATGAAAGAAAGGCGTATAACCTGTGACCTTGTGTGTCGCGGTATTAAAGGCGTATGTAACAAAAGGTAATACGGCATCCCAGTTCTTGTAATCTGCTGCGACGTACATTGAAAGCATGTTGACAATGGTAAGGTTGGTGCACTCAGTGAGGCCGTTGGTCTGGGGGTGGTATGGCGTGGAATGCCGATACGGGCACCCACAAAGCCGTAGCAACTCTTCGACAACGTCAGCGGTAAACTGCCAGCCGCGGTCACTTTTCACCACACGAGGGGCCCCGTGACGGAGTATAATTGAGTGCAGAAGAAACCATGACACGTCAGATGATGTGGCTGAAGCAACCGCCATCGTTTCAGTATACCACGTCAGGTAATTTACGCACACAATAATCCAGCGGCGGCTGGCGGTAGACTTGGGGAAAGGGCCCAGTAAATCTGAGCCGACTTTTTCGAATGGTGATGTCGGTGTCTTAACCGGTTGCAGTGGGCCGGTCAATGGCGTGGTAGGGATTGTGTTGCGTTGGCAGACATCACAACTTGCGACGTAGTGCTTGGTGGTCTTCCAGAGTCGAGGTCAGTAAAAGCGTTGTCGGATACGGTGAAGCGTTCGGGCAAATCCAAGGTGCCCAGACGTGATGTCATCACGCACGGCTTGAAATACCGCAAGACGCAGGCATTCTGGCACGACGAGGGGCAGTGTGGAACCATGGCTGGAGTAACTCTTGCGATATAGTAGGGCGTCATGAATCACGAATGGCGTGGCGCGTTTAGAGCTACAGGGCACATCGATCATTGGTTTCAGCGAAGGATCACGCTGTTGCTCGTGACGGAAGACCTTCAAATTTGGGAAGTTGGAACATATTGCAGCCAGGTAGTTATCGAAAATCATCATCAGCATCAGTCGGCATCATCAGTCGGCATCTGCGTGACATCGACAGCTCTTGTAGGTCACAGAAAAATTATATTCTTGAAACCGTAAGGCCCAACGAGCCAACCGGCCTGTTGGGTCACGTAGTCCGACGAGCCAACAAAGAGAATGATGATCTGTGATGATCTTGAATTGCCGGCCGTACAAATAAGGTCTGAACTTTTGGACAGCGAAAATAACTTCAAGACATTCCAGTTTGGTGACCATGGAATTCCTCTCCGCCATAGTCAAAGTACGCCTTGCATACGCCACGACGTGCTGGTGGCTGTCGTGATACTGAACTAGCACGGCACCAACACCGATACCATTAGCATCTGTATGCAGTTCTGTGAGTGCCTCCGGGTCAAAATGGCACAAGAGGGGCCCGGAAGTAAGCAAATACTTCAGCTGCTCGAAACCAGCCTCACACTCAACGGTCCATCGGAATGGGGCGTTTTTGTGAAGCAACTCTGTCCGAGGATGAGCAAGCTGGGTGAAGTCTTTGATAAACCGGTGAAAATAAGAACACAGGCCCACAAATCTATGGAGATCCTTCAACGACGTTGGTTGCTTGAAGTCTCGGACAGCATTGATCTTTTGCGAGTCTGGCCGTATACTGTCCCTGTCGACTAGATATCCGAGCACAAGGGCTTGACGCTCACCAAAATGATACTTCCTTGCGTTTAAAACGAGACCAGCTTTTTTGACGCAATCTGAAACAACGCTAAGCCGATGGTTGTGCTCGTGAAATGTCTTGCCGAAAATAATTACATAATCGAGATAACACATACATACCTTCCATTTGAGACCGCGAAGGATGGAGTCCATGAATCGCTCGAAGGTAGATGGGGCATTACATAAGCCAAACGGCATAACGTTAAATTCAAATAACCCATCAGGCTTGACAAAAGCAGTCTTCTCTCTGTCAGACGGATGCATTAGCATTTACCAGTATCCAGACCTTAGGTCGACCGACGAGAAGTGCAGGCAATCAACTGCATCATCGATGCGTTGTAGCGGATACACGTCTTTCTTTGTGACGGCGTTGAGACGGCGGTAGTCTACACAAAATCGCCAAGAGTTGTCTTTCTTTTTTACCAATATAACAGGAGCTGCCGAGGGACTGCTTGACTCTTGAATAACGCCTTTCTGCAGCATGTCGTTGACCTGATCGGTGATCACTTGCCTCTCTGACGGGGATACGCGATAGGGTTTCTGGCGTATCGGTGTAGCATCTCCCGTGTTGATGTGGTGGTGCATACGGGATTCGGTCAACATGGAACAACGCTTGTTTTCAGCGAAATCAAAGACTCCCGCGTAGCGTGTGAGCACCTCCTCGAGGACATTCTGCTCGGAAGAAGGCAACGACTTATTGATCATGCGTTTTATCTCGGCTGAGTAGTTGGGCGCAGTCTGACTGATGGCTGGAGACTCTGAGACCATTCTGACGTCAACTGATTTGATGCTTTCAAATGACTAGAAGCAAAAAAAAAAAAACGATTTGATTGCTTTCGTATCTAAAACGACTCATCCGTCAGGGTAAACGACTTTCCTTTCCATCATGAAATGGAAAACTACCTATTAATTAATTTTATTTATATGATACTGTGAGCCTAAACATGGTGATACAGGAGTGAACAATGAATACGCAGGCAAGTTTCGCAACAGCCTAAGAGAAACACAGCTATTCCACTTCAACACAGTGTTATGCGACAAAGTCTTATATACATGGATCAAAGCGAAAAGCAACAGAAAGCAACATTTAGATATCCCAGTGTTACATACAGAAACTCTCTGTGTCATGGTGAACCTATGAATGTAGAATTATAGTTAGTCTCTTGTAGGGTTTATATGAATAGAAACTGCTCTATTTTAGAAGTGCATTTTTCTAAGGATTCAACATTTATGCAAGCATGTGGAAGTGCATTCTCTTTTTTTATGGTATAGACGGGAAGAAAAAAAACATTTGTATGTGTCGCAGCATGTTATGTATGGTCTGATACGCTTTTATTGGATGGAGACAGTCGCAGTTATCAATAATGGTCAGCGAAATTTTCGGTGCGTGATAGTGACGGTCACCCGCCTTCGTCTAAAAAAAAGCGTGATTTTGCGCTCGTCACTTTTCAGGTGGCCATATATCGAAATGAGGTGAACATTCTCAACTACTGGTGCGGCGGTACGCTCATCACATCCCGAGTTGTCCTGTCTGCGGCTCATTGTTTCGCCTATTCACTGTGAGTACACGGCCGTGACGGTTCCATAGCTGGTAATATTTAATACTCAGAATTTGCTCTTGGCCATGCGTAGAGCTCCCGTTTCTTTGTCTATGCGTTTAGCCACGAGAAAACAGGCGAAGTGGTCGGTAACGCCTCACGAAGTTTAGAACATAGCTATGTTCTGCGCTATGTTTCTTCGTATAGTTCAATCATATGTTTTTTGCTTTTTTTCTATTTTAAACATTGTATCCAGGTTGATGTCCTTTGTCGCTGTGTAACCGCTTGCGCAAGTATGTAGGTATGTCGCACAATTGGTCCCTCTACTAGCCAGTTAGGCTATGGGACCAAACAAGTGTTTGCGAAGTTTTTTGTTACATGGATGTGAAAGTTACAATAAGAAAAAACAATAGTATTCCCGACGCAGCATCGGCCTTATAGGATTTGAAGTGTTTCTAAAAACCAACTGAATTCAATAGCATCTTGAAGTTCAGCATGCTCTTAGCGATGTACATGATAAACAACAACAACAACAACAACACAACAACAACAACAACAACAACAACAACAACAACAACAACAACAACAACAACAACAACAACAACAACAACAACAACAACAACAACAATAACAACAACATCAACACAAGTAATAATAGCAATAATAATAACAATAATAATAACAATAACAACAACATCAACACAAGTAATAATAATAATAATAATAATAATAATAATAATAATAATAATAATAATAATAATAATAATAATAATAATAATAATAATAATAATAATAATAATAATAATAATAATAATAATATATTATTATTATTATTATTATTATTATTAATATTATTATTATTATTATTATGTGTTATACATCCCAAAACAACAATATAATCATAACAAACGCCGTAGTGAAGCACTTTGGAAACCGTCCATTTGGTGCTCTTTAACGAGCAATAACGTTTCACAGTACACGGGCCTCTAATATTTCGCATTCACCGAAATGCGACCACCGCGGCCAGGATCGACCTCGCGACTTGCGGGCCATCAGCCGAGTGCCGTAACCCATAGAGTTTCCTAATATTAACTAGAGAGGACTGTGGCACTGCGATCCATTCACCGAGCGTGGGAATGTACGGACACGGATTTGCCGAGTCTTCGTACTTGCGGCCCTCGAATCGCACTTGTGGACTCGTTTATTGCAAACGTTTCGGTTTTGATTTCAGTAAAATAACAAACCGTTCTGAACTTAGGGGGGTGAAAGATTGGGATAGTTGATACTCGATAATATAAGAAGGTATATAGTGCACTAAAAACCACAAAAAAAAAACACGTGAGAAGGATGAAGAGGGGCGCTCGTCCTCGCCCTTCCCTCGTGTGTTTTTTGTGCTATTCAGTGCGCTGTATACCGTCTTATGTTCTGAACCTCGTGACCGTATTTATTGGGCGAGCCTACAAAATTAGGGTAGTGAAGCGTAACAGATAAACTATTGCTGATTGTCGTTTCATGACAAAGTTACTTCAAGTCACGTGAAACCAGAATGAACGTAAAGTACAAAGACTAGGCAAATCCATATACTATATATCCCATATCTCATGCTTGCTGAAGCGCCATACGTTGCAGCTCCCATCGGCACTATAGCGCTGCAGTGTTCCCTCTATAGCGTATTTATAGGAAACTCTGTGCCTTAACCTTCATAATGCCCAGGATTTCGGGACAGGTGCACGTTGGGGCGTGCTTCATTGGCGACTGCACGACACACCGTCTTCAAATACGGTGATGACGTGGTGAATAAATTTCGTGTAATGAAAGGAAATTGAAAAGTATCAGAATAGACATTAAGTTAGAAACCAAATGAATCATGCTGTAGAGACTGTCATATCATGCCACAATACATGTAGGATTACCAAAGCATCGCCAACCGTCTACATTTCACCTTATTGCTACAGAAAACTGTCACCAGCGAGTTTCCCGCTGTGGTTTAGTGGCTATATGGTGCTTCACTGGTGACCTGAGGTTTGCGACGTCGAATCCGGGCTGCGGCGGTTGCATTTCATTGGAGGAAGAATGATGGAGGCCCGTGTGGTTAGATTCAGGGGCACGTTAAAGGAATACCCAGATGGCTGACGTTTCCGCAGCCAACAAGGCAATTCTCGTTACTACACAACAAAGATTTCTCTCTCTCTCTCTCTCAACGCCTGCTCGCTGCTGCAGGAATGGCACCAAGTACATCGCCCGAATCGGCGGCGTGAACATCTCGGACACGAGCAACTCCACGTTCGTGCAGAGGAACGTTGCCTCGGTGATCGTGCACCCGGAATACAATGACAGGCGTCACTACAACGACGTCGCTCTGTTGCTGCTGGATGTGCAAGCGCGACTGAGAGGCGTGTCACAGCCGTTCGCCTGCTTGCCGGATGCAGATTCTGCCCCAGTTGTGCACGGAATCGCCACCGTGCTGGGCTGGGGACACAACTCCTTCGGTAAGTCATCGAGGACGCACTGTATTATGAGAGAAAAAAAAAACAAAAAAAACACGTATGGTGTTTTTCTGCAGCGGTAACTTTCAGCTCACGGATTCGAAGTTGACGTGCAATTGTGTACTGCGCAGTTTTCGTGGATATTTAGGGATGAATTTGCAAAATCTGTTTGTTAGCACGTGCTGTTAAGCAATGAATTGCTGCCTTCGTTAATAAAGTCAAGCATTTCACTAGAATCCGTTTGGTCAAGCAGAGTCATTGAATAGGAAAAATAAATGTTACAGATCAATAAACGACGGTGATATATGCGAAATGTTATCAATCGCTTGCCCTTCTCCCCACAAAGTAATCTGCGTTCAGTGAATAGCGCCAATATTCTGAAAAGGGTAGTACGCTAGTGTCCACTTTTTTTTTTCACGATGCCATGGCACGCGCACTTTCTCCTTGCGGAAATGTCGTGAAGCACGTCTTGATCTCAAAAGCTTTATTTCTGGCAATGCCGGTTGTTCCTGCCTGTGGGAAAAAACTCCGGCAAGTTGCAGAGGGCAGCACACAAAAATGAGCAACGTGGTCTGTCATTAGTAAACGATGGGTTCGGACTAATTATTAACGATCATTTATAACTTCGTTTTGCGCCAAATAGAAATAGACAGAAGGCTGAAAACTGGACAACCCGTTTTTTCTGTGCACATTCTGTCCCAACTGAAGTTACTGATTAGAACTTTCCACTAAAGCAAAACGTAGGGGGCAAGATGCACCTTGGATTCCAGCTAAAGGAAATACAACTTTGTCCAACTAAAAGTTGCAATAACGCGGGTCACGACTAGGAAACGTCCTTAAAATTTAAAACAAACTGTTTAAGGCCTGCAGAAGTCAATACCACAACGCTGATGCTTTGCTCTCTCAGGTGGCACCCTGCAGACCGTACTTCAGGAAGCGCAGGTTCCTCTTGTGGAGAACGCCGCGTGCGACCGAGCGTATAAATCGCTTGGTAGCTACGATCGCGAGTTTCCGCAGGGCGTCAACGAGCAATTTGTCTGCGCCGGAAACATTACAGATGGTGGTGTCGATGCTTGTCAGGTAAGTGTCATCTCTGACCATGTGCGACCGGGTAAACATTTTGCTTATTTGTTTACCTACTTTTTATCTGTAGTACCCTCATGGTACAAATATATTGCTGTGGAATATGGGAGCATGCATAGAAAAAAAAAGCAGAAGTGATGATAACAGCAGCAAAAAGGGAGCATAACAGAGTAAAGAAAGTACCTTGTAAAATACGTAGAACAAACAAACTTGTATTCTTAAAATGGGTCTGATAGAACGTTTTTAATTAAATGCAGTTGAATCAGCTAAGACACTTTTGAAGGCGTGCGTGTAAATTCCAATCCCTTGCCGTTCATGAATCGCTCATGCCGTTCATGACCGCCGATCAGGTCAACGACATGCTGCAGAAAGGCGCTATTCAAGAGCCAAGCAGTCCCTGGGCAGCTCTTGTTATATTAGTAAAAAAAAAAAAAAGACAACTCTTGGCAATTTTGTGTCGACTACCGCCGTCTCAACACCGTCACAAAGAAAGACGTGTGTCCGCTACCACGCATCGATGATGCAGTTGAATCTTCCCGTTCAGGGAAGAAACGATTGCGAGCCCCTTTAGTTGAAAAATATGGTTTGTTAAATTTATGGTGCCGTCGGCGTGAACGAAATGCATCTAGGAGTGCTAACAAAGAACGCATAGAGGGGTTGTGGTAGTACGCTTTGCGGTAAATACGAATACGTGATTACTTTCCACGGGTTGCTAAGGAAGGATGATAAAGAGCAGCTTTCATGTATGTGACACCTGTAGAGAATCCGCATTCACTAGTAGAGACATTTGAGAGTCCCGTGATCACATGAATCACCCTATTGGTGCCTTAAAAGGAAACCCTGAACAATATGATGAATTTTCCCCTACAGCAAGACTCAGGTGGCCCGTTGGTCGTGAGTGTGGAACGTGGAAGACAAACCTACTACGAACTGGTCGGCGTCGTGTCCTTCGGTGTTGGCTGCGGCTCGGCTGCCTTCCCAGGGGTGTACGCCAGCGTGTCACATTTCATGCAGTGGATTCTCAACGCCACGGCCAGTATCGTTCCTGAAGACGCGTACGCGGGTACAAATTTCGTCTGACTGATGTCAACGGCGAGTCTCAACAAATCGAACATTTATCCTGTGCTGGACGCTGAATAAATCACCCACAAGTGTCACACGAATATATTTACCGTCGTGCCAAGTCAGGAGCTCGGTTCACCGCTGGATGTGAGAAGGTATCTAGGAAGCAAAGAAGACCTCGGTTTTGCCATGTGCGCAAATACGAGAAGAAGTCTGGCTTCTTAAGTCATTGGTGCTCGATAAGCGCTTCACCCTTCAGTGCCAACGGAATAAAATGCGTTTTCTCGCAAACATTGGCGCATAGCGCAAAATTGTGTGTGTTTTGGGGCTAGGTCGTGCAGAATGCTCGGCTTCTCCACGATACTTCAAAATGAAAACTCGGAGGGCACTGACCTTCCCTTTTTATGAGTGGAAGGCGACAGCTTTATTAGGCGGCAGACCTTCAGTATTAAGATTCATGGCTGAGAGCGCAGGATGTCCAACCAGGTGATGGGTGGCAGCCACGAATTTGTCCCAGCCGCTGATGGTATTCGTGAGCCAGATTTGGTTGGATTTCGGCTCGAGCCCTAATCTTGTATTCTTTGCATCCACTGAGATTTATCCTTTTTCGCTCAACAGCCAACGCCAGGGACGCATTTTCTGTGGCATGAGTGCACGAGCTGCCTTTTCTTTATTTGAAAAGGGCGACCCACGAGAAGGCGCTGAAGAGGACGACCCCCTGTATAGTTCCAAGGCTTTGCTACCCTACAATAGTTTATTCTATTGTTTTAGACACAATACGAATTCTCCGGAATTCAGAAAGTAATGACTAACGTCTGTACACACTCGTAAAAAAAAAACGATTTCAAATGAACATTCACTGTCCCCGAACTCGTCATCAGCGCCGCGTCTTAGCTTGACCACTCACATGATGCGTCAGTGCACATTGAGTTGCTTAAGAAACTCGCAGTATTGCTTTCGACCATCGAAAACGTCGTCTTTTTTTCTTGCGCGTCTTATGTGAAAGGTGTACCGACCGAAGATGAGTCCGTTGACGTCAGCAAAGCTCCTGCGAAAAAGAAGGGTTGCCAATACGACACATATGTCTTATGAATAGAAACAAGTGAGTAATTTTATACACAATGAAACTGAGGAAAAACTACCGTGTGGCCTTTATACATCTTTCCATCCATTCTAATGTCTTCGATTCACATATAATATGTGAGCGCCAGAAGTCAATGGGTATACCTGGAGCCAAATGCATCAACCATTTAGTTTTCAAGTATATATACTCATTGCCTTGGTCAAGTGCACCTTCACAATCATTTGGCTGGAATTTGTGCTCCAAAATGTTTCTAGCGCAAACGCTTTTGGTGAACGCAGGCCTTCAATTCTATGCAAGAATACGTTGTCTTCCTGGCGACAAAATCAATTGCGGAATGAAAAAAAAAACGCCTTCTGGGGAAAGTTGTATGCTATGTGCCTGCAGCATTGCTCTTCGAAATCCCTCGAATCACACAGACTCACCGACTCACACAGACTAACTCAGACTCAGATCAAGCCACGAGTCCGAGTGAGGATCACTGTGGTGAGCTCGAGTGAGTCCGGCTTAAGGAAATTTCTATGAGTGCGAGTCAGAGTGAGTCAGGCTCAGCGAAATTTTGATAATTCTGAGTCAGATTGAACTTTAGGAACAAGATATATTTCATGAGTGAGTAAGCATGAGCTCCACAAGTTTTGCCGACCTGTGGTCAGCAGTGAGGTACGGGACATTACTGCTTAGGTGTGCTGGAGACTTTGGTAGGCTACAATTCATTTCATGTTACCGCATCTTGTACATACGTACCTTCTTATCGTGTAGGTGACGTTTTTATTGCGCGAACTAGTACAAAATAGCGTCAGTAGGCTGTCTGCAGCAGCTCTGCTGATGCAGACTGTCAATCACCGCCAATGGCATTCTACGTCAACACCGCTGTAGCGAACGCCTATAGCTAAAGCTGTCGTTTACGGCCACATCAACAGGAGCGTGAGCGCGTACCCTGTCCTAGCGAAGATCGTCCATAGGTTGATAACCTGCTCACTGGCAGCTCGCATGCCGTCGTGCTCGAGCGGGTTTGATTGATATGTGGGGTTTAACGTCCCAAATCCACCATATGATTATGAGAGACGCCGTAGTGGAGGGCTCCGGAAATTTCGACCACCTGAGGTTCTTTAACGTACACCCAAATCTGAGCACACGGGCCTACAACATTTCCGCCTCCATCGGAAATGCAGCCGGGGTTCGAACCCGCGACCTGCGGGTCAGCAGCCGAGTACCTTAGCCACTAGACCACCGCGGCGGGGCATGCTCGAGCGGGTGTAGGAAGGGCTTGCCGAACACCATCCGCAGCATGTCACCCGTATTGGTCGGTGGACCATCGTCCGCCGACGAGATAAAGTAGCGAAAAACGCGATTATCGGCCGTTGAGCCCAGCAAACGAGCGAAATCGCGAAGAGGGCACGCGATCAGCAGGTCCAGAACCCGGTGCAAAACCTCTGACGTCTCAAAACTGTATGTCTGCACCAGTCGAATAGAGTGCCGTAAAACACTCGTTACATGAATCCTGGAAGAACTACAGCGCACTGGCGAAATATTGAGCTCATGGGCTAAATGCATACAGTTTCATTTTCCAAAAAGTAAAGTGCACTGGAAGGGTGTACAGTTAAAGTAGGCTAACTAGTAATGCGTAATGGTATTGACAATTTGATGAGAGCATACCGCCATAAGCTCGACAGGTTGTTATCATGGCCGACATCACGTGACGCGAGGCGTTCCGTGGAATGTCATTGTCTAGGCCGACAGGTAACGCGACGTCACCTTGCCCAATCAGGTCTATAGTATGTGCATTTCCAATCCAGCAATGGACTTATGACACTGTTCGATCTAGCAGGCCAATCACATACACTCGCGCACTTGTATCTCCTCTTTTTTGACTAATCACACGGCGTGAAACTGGCTGATTTCTTTTTGCATTTCATTATGTTATCTCAGTATAATGCTAACATATGCGTTAATTCAGTTTCGTGGAAGCAAACGCGTTGAGGTCTTAAACCGAAAAACATTTATATCACCCACCCAAAGCAAAAGTTACCACTTCTCGTGGGAGATTATACACTGGCACGAAGTTTTTTTATGCGTACATATAGCGGTACGCGATACCTCCTCATATCCCGCCATGATGGCGTCAGTTGCGGAACTGTTGACACCAAGCATGTGGAAGAGTTCAGCTATTGCCTCTCTTGCGTTGTCGGCCGACGCGACGCTGTCCACACCAGTGGCCACGGCGTGCACCGTTTCGTCGTTAATAGGGAGTTTTAGTGCTGGGTACGCAGGCGGCTTGCGTGCGCAGGACGATGGGGCGGCGGTATTGCGCATGCGCGAAGCCCCAAACAGATGCGTCGCAAGATCGCTGGGGCGATGGGGCGATGCGTCTGTGCGCCCATAAACAACGCTGCCGCCACTGGCCTCCTAGCGGAGATAAGCTGCCCCGGCGCACATGCTGGCGCATCATGTTACCTTCACGGCGAGCAAAGCCGAGGCTGGCCAGAGCCATCACTTTGACATTTAAGTTTTAAGCGCAAATATTATAGTGGCTAGCCACTATACAAATAGCATGACACAAAGGCGCGAAATCTCGGACAGCAGGGATCGGCCACCTTGTAAGGTCCACCTTCGCAAGAACTCACAGTATTCGCACTGCGGATACTCTAGCCGTCGAGTTAAAATAAGCCAAAGTGCGAGCACTTATAGCGATTACATGGTTTCAACTAGATTACCAAAGCTAGAATGGCCTGGAACATAAAAACTAAATATATGCCAGCCCCGACCAGCTGAATAGGTGGCGCCATCTGGCGCGGCTATATTGAAACAGACAACCACGACATTGTTATTGCAGAAACATTGTGCATTGTACATCTGATGCAAAAACTGCACAGCGACAATATTACAACTGAGTAACGTTTTATTTGTTTTCATCTCAAAAACATTACGCGTAAGCTAACAAGTTCATGGCTGTGGTTGCACGAAGTGTAACAAGATGTCGACACCGTCGTTATAGTAAGCTTGTATTTTTCACTTTTTTGGTCATACCAGGGTACTGTACACGATAAAAAAGTGTCCTGATCACTATGCATGTTTAATTTTACATTTTCAATCATAAAAATAATTAAATAATATTTACGCGACAAGACGCTATGGCGCTGCGAGCACGTGTGACCTTCGTGCGGCTTGCGTTTGCGTGCGTGCCACCGTGGCGCCAACTAAAAGGAATTCCGGTTGGGTATGCGTTGGGCACGCAAAGCCGCACGCTCCCAAGCCCGCAAGGCCCCAAGCGAATGCGTACCCAGCACTAAAACTCCCTAATGTGGCCGAGTAGAACTTCCACGTCACTTATGCGTGCCTGGGGAGAACAGGCAGGCCGTATTAGTAAATTTACATGAAAAAGCAATTAGAAGTTCAGGGCAACGCGGTGAGCTGGATGATCAGAAACCATTTAATAAAGAGTGGGGCTGAGAAAACTCTAAAGAAGAATAGTAAACGACGCTGTTCACAATGTGACGAGATAGAGATAAATAGCTTTAATAAAACACACCATTACTGAGCCAAAACTTATTTGTGCCCATGATTTTTATGTTTAACGTATGAGACATTGCATTCACTTTGTGAGCACGCTTGTGTGATGCAATGCAGTCCATATATGGCGACGTTCGAGTGGAGTTCCTCCACTAATGCAGTACGGTTGTACAAAACGCAAAGCGTAATTACCAGAATAAGTCTACATAAGCCTGTTGTAGGCGTGGGCCTGACGCTTGCAAATTACTGCGAATGCTCCCTTTAGGTTGCAGAGTTGCGCGTCTGCTTTGCAAACGCCACTAACAAAATGCACTGCGGAAAATGTTGACGCTCAAAAAATTTTTGCATTTCTCGACGCCACTACCACTGCGTGTAGCGAACTAGATTGACACTAGTCATCGACACCCAAGTTATTTACCGGTTTTTGACGCACCACACCTGTAGATCGGCGTCACGATAAGCATGTCGTTGTGCGAGACAGAGGGTGGCTTCGCCTCATAGCTGCG